AACAAATGCCTATAAACATAAAAAATAAACTTAACCCAATAGATTCTGACAAAAACATGTGTTTTTCTGGGTTTTTTTTTGTGTGTGTATGTGTGTTTTTTTTGCTGGGGTTGGGTTTGAACCCACCACCTCTGGCATATGGGGCTGGCACCCTACTCTTTTGAGCCACAGGCGCCACCCAAAAGTATCCTTTTTTAAAATTTCAGATTAATGTGAGGGTGCAAACAATTAGGTTACAACATTTGCTTTTTTTTTTTTTTTTGTAGAAACAGAGTCTTACTTTTTCGCCCTCGGTAGAGTGCAGTGGAGTCACAGCTCACAGCAACCTCCAATTCCTGGGCTTAGGCGATTCTTCTGCCTCAGCCTCCCAAGTAGCTGGGACTACAACATTTGCTTTTGTTAGATAGAGTCTCCGTTGTATTTGTGTCCCACGTCCAGGAGGTGTCACATAAACCTTTTCATTGTGCCCATGAAGTGGAAGCACACTGATCCCCCTCCCTCCTAATGGCATCTGACATCCTTTAATGTCAGATGCCAGTGTTGAAAAAGAATATCAACACCCAAAGTGTAAGAATAAATATTCAAAGAAACATTTGGCTCCAAGATGATTATATTCCTGACCCCTCCCTCTTCCACCCCCCTCCAATTGGAAAGGTCATTATTGTTTAATTTTGGAGGCAGAGCACTCCGACTGAGGCATCCTGGAAATGTACAACTTGGGAACTAGACCCCAGAGGCCAACACCTTTCACACATCACAGAATGCAAATAAGCATCCAGTGTTCACGGAAGAGGCAGCAGCTCTTATTTTTTTGTTCCACCCTGCAGGGGTCCTCAAACTTTTTAAACAGGGGCCCAGTTCACTGTCCCTCAGACCTTTGGAGGGCCAGACTATAGTTTAAAAGGACAGGCAGCTGCTAAGCAGGACAGGCAGCGGCAGCAAAAACACCCGGTGGGCCGGATAAATGTCCTGGGTGGCCGCGGGCCATAGTTTGAGGACACCTGCTTTAAGGTCTGGGTTCTTCAGCTAACGTGGCTGCTAACTTGCATAAGTAAATCCTTTAACCTCTTTGGAGCACAGTTTTCTCATCCTTAAGATGTACTGGGAACACCCTGAAGGCGCCTGCCAGCTTACAGGGTGTTGGAAGGAAAGGGCACAAAGAACGAAGACCACTTCTTTTCCCTGAACCCTGCAGCAGTGGACTTGGTTAAGTTTCTGAAAGTTGCTTACCTGAACACAAGGGACAAAGAACAGCCAAGAGCTGAACGAGCTTGAGTGACATTTCCCACTTTAGTGTGTGATCCATTGGCTTCACAGAAGCTGAAGACAGAAGCCAACAATTTAGAGTTAAGTAAGATCCAGGCAAGTCCCAGGTATGAAGCAGTCAGGGCAGAAGTCAATTCAATTGCTCCACGTAGAGGATTGTCCCTTGATGTTCACAAAACTCACTGATAAGAGATTGGATAGTGTTCTCGGGTCTTCAAAGGTTGTAGATTTTCACAACCTAAAACAGAAAAAAATGCAAGTCATCCAGGAAGGCCTGCCTATCATGGCTTGTAAAAGCCCCTAGCTAGGTATCTTAACCTAAGTGACTTCTCAACCAAGAAATGACCTGGAGTAAAAGCCATTCAGAAAACCCTGTAAAAACCAAACACAGTGCTTCCAAGAAACAGCTCACTTCCTAACAGAAGTAATAACTACTTCGTTAGAGTATCATTAGCCGACTCATGAAAATTTAGATCCTCTTCTGAACTTATCAAGAAACAGAGAGCAACTAGGGCATACTTCACTCAAGACAGTATGTTAGTTATAAAAAACTTTTTTCTTAACTTTTTTTAAAATTTAAATCATAGCTGTGTACATTAATGCAGTCATGGGGTACAATGTGCTGGTTTTATATACAATTTGAAATATTTTCATCAAACTGGTTAACATAGCCTTCATGGCATTTTCTTAGTTATTGTGTTAAGACATTTATATTCTACATTTAGTAAGTTTCACATAGTTTCACTTTGTCATCCTCGGTAGAGGGCTGTAGTGTCACACAGTTCACAGCAACCTCCAACTCCCTAGTAGCTGGGACTATAGGTAGCTGGCCACAATACCCAGTTATTAATGTATTAACACAAGAAAACCACTATCTCAATTCTTAAATACCTCTATTCAAATCATAAAAGGGTAGAGGATCTCAATCAACACAAAAATATATTGGTTAGGCTCGGCACACTTAGCACAATGGTTACAATGCCAGCCATGTGCACTGAGGCTAGCAGGTTAGAACCTGCCCTGGGCCACCTAACCAACAATGACAACTGCAACAAAAAAATAGCTGGGCGTTGAGGCAGGTGCCTGTAGTCCTAGCTACTTGGGAAGCTGAGGCAAGAGAATCGCCTAAGCCCAGGAGTTTGAGGTTACTGTGAGCTGTGATGCCACAGTACTCTACTAAGGGCGACATAGTGAGACTCTGTCTCAAAAAAAATTTTTTTTTAGTTAAAAAAGGAGAAAAAAGAAAGACGCACTGCGTTTACTACAATATGAGGCGATGGAGGTTTTTTTCCCTAGTAAACAGACAAAAATTGAGAAATGAAAATGAACCCTGTCACCCTCTCGGTCTGATGCCTCAGACAGAATCCAATGCTGCCCAGAAGACAACTGGGTCTCCTCTTCAGTGACCACCCCAAGCTAGTGTTCCAGCCACATCAATGTTTTATTAGCCACAGTCTGTTTTTAGCAAGATTAACTTGAAGAAACCTATTCACCAGAATTTTATTGGTTGGAAAAACTCAAATTCGGTCCACAAAAATAAAAACTCACTACCATCTAGAAATTTTTTAAATGGGCCACAATTTTCACTGGTTCTCCAAATGTGATGGACAGCCACAGCCTCCTTGGGAATGAAACACCAGGGCCTCTTTAGAGGGCAAGTCCGTGCCCGTAGTGATGGTGGTATGTTTGTTAAAAAGGCAGTCAGGTTGCTGGTAACTAGTTCTACCAAGCTGTCCCATAGTAAAATAATACACAGCAAATGTACTTACCACTCTTTCTTTTACGTTAAAAATCAGAGGATAAAGTCCTGCTTCTGAGATGTTCTCTTCACGCTGTCTTCAAAATAATGGCAAGTTACTCAGTTCCTTGTTCTTTTTTTCGTTGTTGCAGTTTGGCCGGGGCCAGGTTCAAACCCACCACCCTGGGTATATGGGGCTTGCGCTCCACTCACTGAGACACAGGCGCTGCCTCAGTTCCTTGTTCTTTGGGTGATCTGTTAGAGGAATGGTATTTCCAACTTCAGTACTTGACAGAGGATGTGAGCTCAAGCACAAGCCCTTAGGCAGCACAGGAGAGCTATGTTTGAGGAAGCTCCTTCCTCTGGTCTTCTCTAGCAGAGGGTGTGGCTAAGGGCAATCACACACCCTTCTCCCTCATTACTAAAAATGCCCTAGGAGGAAACACTGGGGACCCCAAGTAGTCTGCGCAGAAGGAAGGTGGGTACCCCGGAAGAGGGTGGGGCAGCCTGCTAGCTTTGCTGGGCAGTGGGAGGTGAGCAGTAGTGACTATTTCTGTGCTGGTCTCAAGTTCTGTTTTTGTTTATTTGTTTGAGACAGAGTCTCACTGTGTTGCCCTCAGTAGAGTGCCCTGGCATCATACCTCACAGAAACCTCAAACTCTTGGGCTCCAGTGATCCTCTTGCCTCAGCCTCAGCCATAGCTGACTCCTGGAGCCACCATAATGCCCTGCTATTTTTAGAGATGGGGTCTGGTTCTTGCTCAGGCTGGTCTCCATATAGTTCTGTTTTAACATCTAGAGTTACTCCTTTCAAAGCCTATGTAGGGGACACTTTTTTTGAAGAGTACTCAACAAGACCACCCTCAATTGCACTCTAACCCCTCCATCCCACCATGTTCACAGAGTGGGTCTGGCAACCATGTTGGACAGTCAATTTCAGTTATCCTAGTGAGGTCTGAGTGCACTTCAGGAGAGTGCCATGAAAATGCCAGGGAATGGGGTGGGGAAGACTTGAGTCTTTCCCAGCCAGCCTCCACCCCTCATGCACCCTATGTAGAATTTTAGAGTGCCCATGTGCAAGCAGTTGACCCATGCTGAGCCAGGTTGCACAGGTAGAAACAGCGCCCTGTATAGGCCCACACTGGTCTCAGCCTGCTTCTGGCCCTTCCCAGGGCTTCTCTGTCATCTTGGCACAAGATACTTTGGGAATTCTGCATCCAAAAATGTGCAACCTAGGAATGTAGGGAAGTCAGTGCCCATGGGGCTACCTTTGACCAAAGTGGGGGACAGAAACTTATGGATAATTCCTTTTTCTCTCCAGTGGAGAATTCTGTGAGATTGCACAGAAGGTCCCCATGGGATTGAGCACTAGTGGCCATTAGCAGTGGTTGCCTCATGAGGCTTCTCTGTCCTGTACCACTGGACTCATGTGTCCAAATAAACTACTTTGCTCAAGATTTTGTCTCTAGCTTTGCTTTCTGGAGAGCCCAGGCTAAGACAGCAGGAATATTTGGTATAGTAGAGATACAAGAGTTGTTCTTCTAAAATAATCCTGAAGAAATAAATAAAAATAAAATAAAATAATCCTGTAGAAGTAGAAAGGTGAATTTAAAAAAAAAGAGAGAGAGAGACTGTAGGCTGGCGAGCTGGCGGAACAGGGGATGAGAAGGAAGACCCAGCCTGAGCCAGAGTGAGACCTTGTCTCTAAATAGCTAGGCAATGTGGTGAGCACCTCCCAGCTACTTGGGAGGCCAAGGCAAGAGAAACACTTAAGCCCAAGAGTTTGAGGTTGCTATGAGCTATGATACCACAGCACCGGAAAATTTGTTAGAGTTAAAGACTTACTTACTATGAATGAAGAAGTGAAACAGGCTAGAAAAGCATTTGATGAAGCCAACTATGGATCTTGACATCTTTGGTAGTTTCTGAAACTCCTTTGTGTTCTAGGGAAACCATATGTAATAATTGTTATATTTTTTTTCTTTCTTTCCTTTTTAAAGGGGAAAACATGAACGCAGTCCTCCACTACCACTCAACAATTACACAGTTGAGTTTCCCCCATTTGGGGAAATCACAGGAGTCAGCACATCCAGAGTGCAATAGATAAGCCTCACCCTGGGAAAACCACCTTTGTGATCATGGTATTTCCCCTGCCAGGGAAGTATATAATTGTTATATTTTCTACTGTAAGTTCCTGTAAATGAAAGGTAGAGAGAATTTTCTGCCTTTATTTTCACGGCTTTGATTTTATAGTGATATTGGATTAATTGCCCACCTTTATATGACCATATTTGAATTACTTATTTTTAACGACCACATAAGTTAAAGTATCTTTTAAGCCAGGTGTGGTGGCTCACAGCTGTAATCCCAGCACTCTGGGAGGCTGAAGCTGGTGGATTGCCTGAGCTCACAGGTTTGAGACCAGTGTGAGCCAGATAGAGACCTCATCTCTAAAAATGGCGAGGCGTTGTGGTGGATGCCTATAGTTCCAGCTACTTGGGATGCTGAGGCAAGGGAATGGCTTGAGCCCAAGAGTTTGAGGTTGCTGTGAGCTATGACACCACAGCACTCTACCAAGAGCTACAAAGTGAGATTCTATCTCCAAAAAAAAAAAAAAGTACCTTTCAAGCCATGTAGTTCTTTCTGATTATTAACAAAGGGTGAAATATTAATAGTGTTTATGTGTTAGGTATATTTGTGCCATTGTAAGCTATGCTATAACTATTTAACATGTAAAATCTAAATGGCATTTTGACTATGATAGGTGAAACATGTGCTTTATATATTCTGAAGTAATTTCTTTTACATTTCTTTTCTTTCTTTTTTTTTTTTTTTGAGACAGAATCTTGCTATGTCGCCCTCGGTACAATGCTGTGGTGTCACAGCTCACAACAACCTCAAACTCTCGGGCTCAAGCGAGTCTCCTGCCTTAGCCTCCCAAGTAGCTGGGACTACAGGCATCAGCCACAATGCCTGGCTATTTTTTTTCTTTTTGTTGGAGTTGTCATTGTTGTTTAGCTGGCTGGGGCTGGGTTTGAACCCACCAGCCTCGGTGCCGTAACCGCTGTGCTATGGGTGCTGAGCTTCTTTTATGTTTCTTTTACAGAGATGATACAAGAAAATACTGTTTATGCAGATGTTTATGCAAAGATGTTGGGTAAAGATGTTTATCTGTTTTAAAAGCTAATTTATTTTAATATTCTTTTCTTCAGATAACAAGAATGATTTTATTTTTTTTTTTTGAGAAACAAAGTTTCATGTGAATTCTTCCATGTGGGAAGGCTTTTTTGATTTAAAACCTTTTGGAGATTATAACATACTATTTGTTAAGTTTTGGGAGAACTCATTTTCCCCAATCCGATTAAGCCTTCTAAAAATAAATGTTTTCAGCAGCAAGAATGGCATTGCTTAAAAATTGAATGGCATTGATGTCAAGATAAGCATTTAGGGTAGTTTAAAC